TTCACTAAGGTAAGTCCTTTATTTATTTTCTTTCTGCTTTACTTTGTGTATTAAAAATATGGATTTAAACTATATAAATTCAGTGTAAAAATTCCTTTTACTATCGGTGTATGTGACCCGTGATAACAAGGTAGTTACCATTTTTATCATATTGATTTACCTATAATATCTATGAAGTAACCTAAGTGTGTAGTATGTTTTATATTGTTAGCGCATAGAGCGTAAACTCTTAAATTGCATAGTGATTAAGCATATTGCGGCTAAAAAGAGGGAAGCACGGTGCACTAAGCTCCCGCTATCCGCGGGTGGGGAGGGCCGGGCTATTGTACCCACCCTTACCCAGTGGCCCTTACCCAGTGGCGGTGCCAATGCCACTCATTGGCATGGGGAGTCAATTGACACCCCCTTCGTTCGAAAATCATACCGCGTAAATAGGTTAAATATTTTATTTTTACGTATATATACTATGTGTTGACTCCCCTTAATTTTTTCATATGCTTGCTTATTTATATTTTGACACTCCTTGGGGAAAATTCTGACTCTGCAAGAAGCTATTTTCACGGCTCGAACCCGTGACCTTCTGGTCACGCCAAGCAACTTTACCCGTTACGCCAAGGCATCCTTTCTAAGCATTGCTGGCTAAATTTTAAATTTTGGATATATATGTAGTTTCATGAGTGTACTGTTTTTCCTGAATTCTTTATCTGATGTATTATGTTTTATAAAATTAATGTAGGCAGAAAAGGGGTATGACAATTACAAAGTGGAGAAGCAAGCTGTGAATCTACTTATTGCTGGCCCTGCTCTGTGGCTGCTTGGTTCAATTCATAACTCGTGTCAGATTTATGAAAGAGCAGATGGACATGTTCAAATCTTGCAACAAAGCGTCAACATTCCTTTCTTGTTGGGCAGTTTACTGTTTCTAGTAGGAGCACTCCTCAATTGGAGAGAGCAATCAGGACATGTCCACCATGGCTTGAAATTGTTAGTAAGTAATCCAACATCTTACAAATTATCGATATGGAAAATCTTTTTATGGATGTAGTGTTTAACTCGCTCATAGTCTCATACTACCTATATGATCGTATCACCTATGATCTTAGGGCTCGTTTGGTACGTGGATAAGAGATAATTAATTTCGGGATTAAATTTGAGATGAGTTTATCCCACGTTTGGTTGGGATGGTATAACTAATGTAGTGTTAATTTTATACCTATGGGAGGGTGGGATAAGAATCCCGGGATAATTAATTTTGAGATAACATCCAACCAAACGACCCCTTAAAGTATAAACTTGTAGAAAGAAAGAGGACATTTGTTGGCCAAATACACATAAGGTAAGGTTGAGTCCCACATCTCCCTGAACTATAATTGCAAGTTTTCCCGCAGAAAGCTCTCTTGAGAAGAACGCTATATTTCTTTAGTTAGTTCTCTTGATTGTAAAGACACTCATTTACAGTTGCTCATTTGGAGAGCATGATCTCTATCTTTCAGTTGAGAAAGTGGAGGAAATGGTTTAATTAAGAATAAGGAAGTAATTTAATTAGAATATCAGATGTGCATAGCGAGAAACTGCCTGACCTTGTCAACCAAGCATCAAAAAGAAAGGAAGGAGAGGAAAACCTCATTTTTGGAAACTTTCCACAAGTCATCTTTAACCTGGAATGTTATTTATATAGCAATAGTCTGATTGGCGAAATATAGTGCGTATTGAACGACGTCATACAGACACTTCATTTAGCCAATCCAACTTGTGTGTAAGGCATTCTTATTGGTTGATTTCCTTTTTTACTCGGTTTGTCACCTACTATTTATAGGCTTTTACATATTAACACTGTTTGAATGCTTACGGGTACTAGAATCTGTTGCACTGCCTTTTGCATAGTTTGATTAAGTAATTGAGTAATTCTGAAATGATGCAGAGTGAAGAGTGGGTGTGGTTGGGAATGTTTGGGAGCCTATTGCTTCTCATTGGAGGACTAATGAACGTGGTAAAAGTGTTCAAGATGCAACAAATGAGTGGATTGAGGCTAGAGAAGCTACGAGGCGGAGCACAGGAACGACTAATGCAAGAAAGAGAAGGGCAAATGCCACTAATTATAGAAGAGCAAAGGAGAAGGAGAAACTCACCCGAGGAGGGAACAACATCAACTACTGTTGCCCCAACTCCCTATAAGGATGTTCTTGTTGGTCAGGCTTGAGTTAATCGTTCGAGGGAATTCTATGCATTACTCCCATCTCATATAAACTTCGCCAACTGCTCTTGGACAGTCATACAACACGAGGATATACAGAAGGTTTACAAGTTTTGCCGCTAATTTCTCGTAAATTTGCTGATTTTACATGTGCTTATTGACAAGATTTCGAGAGCTCGTATATTACTATATTATACTCACTTGGATTTGATGTTGAATAATACGATGTCTTATTTATACTAGTGTATGGGTTACCGGAACATTGTGTTTGGCCCTTGCCTTGAATATCAGTTTGAGTAGTAACTAACGATGCAAAATAGCTGAGTAAATCAATCTCCAGAAGTATCAGGATCCAAGAACAACTCAAAGTAGCTAGTCTGTCATCTTTTTTTCTTCCTCTTTATCCTTCATCTTTATTATTTTTCCTGCAAAGTTACATTGGGAATGACATTTCTCTGAAAGAAGCAGAGAGTTAGTAAAGTATGATGTTAAAATAGGACATCTTATTTTCAAAAAATTGATATACAATTCCCCAGTTTACATGCAAAATTTTACCCAATACAGGGTATTTTTAATTTTAAAGTGGCTGAAAAAGAAAAACGGAAAAAGAAATCCTGAATTCCTACCAAGGCTTACAATACTCTACTGAAGCTACCTGTTCTGTCTGCTGCCAGGAAATGAAAGTCCTATAAATATGTTACAACAGTGAGGAAAAAGAAATTTTATGATCTGTAGATGAAATAATCAGACTAGTGTCTCGTATAAACTGTACATTAGCTCCCTACACCAGCTGAGATGATCACCCATGGAAGAGAAAGCGACACCTAAACCAATGCAAGTGCTTCTTCGTCTTGTGGCTGCTGCTGTTGTTCAGAGAGCCGTTCTTCAGATAAAGGGAGAAGAATTCGCCTTATTTCTTCTGAACTCAACGTTTCACACTCTAGAAGTGCATTCGCCAGAGCATGCAGAGCCTTTTCATGCTGCAATATAAAAGAAACACAGTTTAGAGCAATATTTCCAATCTATGCTGCGCGGTTAAAACAAATTCATGTAATGAGGACGCATCTTTTTAATCACTAGTGAGGATTTATGGGGCGCAGAGGGGCTGCTTAAACTTTTTCACTGCTTTTGCTCATTAAATAAACATGGCACAATACCAGCCATTAGGGATAAAAATCATATAGCTACAATGCTTCAATGGCAAAATAATCTCCTTAAAACCAAATACTTGATTCGATTAACACATCTATACAATTCTTTTTTAACACATCTATAAAGATATTTTGTCTGAATAAATACTATAACAACATACCAGTATAATTCCACGGGTGGGGTCTGGGGAGGGTAGTGAGTACGCAGACCTTATCCTACCTGGAGAGGTAGAGAAGCTGTTTTGAAAGACCCTCGGCTCAAGAAAAGGTGAAAAGGAAGAATAGGGGAGAAGAAGAGGCTGTTTTGAAAGACCCTCGGCTCAAGAAAAGGTGAAAAGGAAGAATAGGGGAGAAGAAGAGAAGGAAAGAGGGGGGAGGGGGGAGAAAGGCGATAAGCAAAGAGGAGAAAAAGTAGCATCAAATAGTAACCATCAGGGAGCAACAATATCCAATAAAAGTAATTATTTTGTCTGAATGAATCATAAAAGTAATGTCTGATAGTTGCCGTACCTTCAAAGTGTTAGGAATTAGGTACAAACTTAAAATCTGAAAGTTGTAAGGCAAAAATTTTCCTTTTACTATTTCTTTACAATATGTCCCCTACTTGCTCTATCAATTTTCAATTTAAGATGTTCCAAAATGTTTCACATACTTCTACATTAATAATATTTTACGCAACTTTCAACAGTTGAGTCTGGATCACATTTTCTTTTTTGGTTGTTTTTTATAGTTATGAATCGTTGATGTTCCTTCTCAAAAGAAAGTAACGAACTGTTAATGTTAAATAAATTTGCTTGAAACTTTGTCATATAGAGTATGTTAATTCCAGAAGTATGTCAATCATTTAGGGGCATCTCAAAATAGAAAAAGAATTGTCTCATAAATATCCACCGAATGTTGGTGCGAATCCCATACCTGCTGGTGTCTTGTCATGCCGACACGGGCAGTAATCAATGAATCCGAGCAACATAGGCTGAGATAAATGTTCCGTTACTTCTATTTATCTAAATAGGAAATTAAGTATTTTCCTGTATGTTGAAAACGGTTCCATGTAATTGGGGATTGATTTTTCCACCTGCCCTCATTAGCTTTAGGCGAAACAACCTTGCATGGAAATTGTTATTCAAGAGTAATGAGTCATTCGTTACCTATATTGTACTTCATAATTCACCTTCTCCATAGGAAGTTGCCAGAGTCTTGAGAGACCAAAATAATGTCAACCCATTGAAAAGACTAAGATTGTCTGCACGCTATCATACACTCTGAAGTACTTAAACCTATGCATCTACTTGGATTTCTAAAGATACTATCAAATACTGAGCAAGACGATGGTTGTAAAAGGATGGAAGGAAAGATACTATCAAATACTGAGCAAGAAGATGGTTGTAAAAGGATGGAAGGTAGTATTGCTCTATGATCATTCATTAAGATATGTAAGACAAACCTTCTTTAGGAGGGCCTTTACACGATCATAAGCTTCTCTTAGAAGTTTAACCACCTGTGCATCAAACGAACAAATTTATAAGAGCTTACCAACCCAAATAAAAACTATAGATAACACAATATAGTGAACTAGAAATTTTTCACCAGGCCACTTGTTACAAAAGGTAAGAACATAAAAAGTTAAAAAAAAAACTGTCGGGCTAAGCACATACCTCCGCGTCAATACGTGATTGCATTTCAGCACTTGGCCGCTCTTTGATGTGAACAGGTCCAATTGCATCACTCATCCCACAGGACGATACCTACAGAAGAATGTGACACTGTCATACCCGTGTAACAGAAAGCTCATTCTAACAAATGAGTAATAACGTTACTCACAGCTTATAGTATACATAACACAGACAAAGAAAATGAAGAAACAACAATATCAGACCGACTTTTGACTCTTCCTATGAAGCAGATCTGGAGAGAAATCTTCCAGCTTTTGCCTGTGGGAAGCTACTCTTGCAGCAAATCATATGGGGGAAAACCTAAGTTGTTTCTGACTCATGTCTAGAGATTGCCAAATACTGCCGGCACAGATAATGAGAGGTTATGTTTGTTTTCTCTTTTCTGTTTCCATCATGTTCGGCTATGCCTCGATTAGAGAACTGCTAATTTTTACTTGCATTGACAAATAGTAGTAGATGGAGGAAAAGGAACTAAAGGTGATCCTATTTTCTCTATTTCTATTTTCCAAGGCACTTGTGCCTTTGGGTTGAGAAAAGTTCGAGGGCAAACTAAGGAAGCAAAATGACTTCAGAACATTGAAGCTTCAGATCGGCAGACTCAATTTTCTGTGCCCAGCATAGCCTCAAAAAGCACGGATTTAGTTGATCTTTATGCTATTTTTTTTTTTGAATTGTTAACTTTTGTATATATTAATAAAAACAGTACAAAGGTTGGACTGGAAACCCAATTTACATGTAGATTACTACCAGAAGAACCGATGTGCTATCCTAGCAAGATCCTAGTATGTCTACCATTGACATAGTAACTTCCGTGTAGATCTGTTTACACCAAAAACAAAATAGAAGAATACAATTAAGTTTGATCTTCTGCACTGACTTGCTTCTGTCTTCAAAACATCTAGCATTCCTTTCCTTCCAAACCACCAGATACATGCTGGGACCATCCTCCATCTGTCTCTGTTATTCGCTTGAACTCCCGCTTCCTCCCAACTAAAAAGAACTTCATTAATCCTGTATGGCATTGTCCAAAAAATACCCCTGAGACTAATAAAAATTTTCCACAGATGGTCTGTTATCTTGCATTGTAGGAATAAATGGCTAACCGTCTCAGCATTTTCCCCACATAGATAACATCTTGAACACAAAGAGATTCCTCTCTTTATGAGATTATCCTGTGTTAAGACAGCCTCCTTTGCTAGTAGCTAGGAGAAACATGCTACCTTATAGGGAACCTTTATTCTCCATATATGCTTCCATGGCCAATCTGAAGATCATTTTGATTCAAAATCTTATATGCATCCTTCACCATATAGACCCCACTATTGTGCGTCTGCCACCAAAGTGAATCCACCCCTTCCTGTGTTCCTTTAAATGCTTCCAGCTCCTTGTAAAGATCAGCTAATCTTGTTATCTCCCAGTCATTCAATTGTCTTCTATGAGTGAGATCCCAACCTTGTTATCTTTATGTTATTTTAGTGCACAGATTTAGTTGATCTGTCTGATAATTTTGCATAGGACAATCTTTTCTTCCCAACACCCTATTATCGTTTAGGTAATTTCTTAGGAAACCTGCAATACAACGGTCATTCCTCTTTGATGTTCACATAAATATCAACTTTCATTCTGCAGTTACCGGCGAGAAATCAAAAATGGAATAAGCACTGCCCTGTACAATTTCACTATTTCTGAAGCAGAAACTCAAGTCTCATAATGTTGATGAGAAAACAATACTTTCTCAACAACATCAACCCAGTAATAATCCCGCTATGCGCGGGGTCAGGGGAAGGGCCGGACCACAAGGGTCTATCATACGGAGCCTTACCCTACATTTCTGCAATAGGGCCCGTGACCGCGTGGTCACATGACAGCAACTTTACCTCGGTTAACAAATTCTGGCATATCAATGCAGCTAAAAGCCAAATGAGCACTTAAAAGGAATATCATGCAGTCAGTAAGAACATTATATTTTGATCTGCATGCATACATTGAAATGTATAGGAGTGTAAATAACTGTTGATAAGTAAAAAAGAAACAAGGAAACAACTTCTTATCATAGCTAATATTTATAATTCATGATGATCTATGTACTTTTAAACCGTATGTAGTCTTGAAGGTGTCTGAAAAATAATTCTTGTTAAGTAAGCTAGAGAAATAGACAGGGAAGAGAGAAGAAGTATTCTACTACATGTATTGGCTATTTCTTTCACTATAACAGATGTTACTAAGTAGCGAAATTGTACCATGTATTGAGCAAGTTCTGTAGCTGTGTGAAGGTCACTAGTAGCCCCGGTAGTTACATTGTCTTGACCAAAGATCAGCTCCTCAGCTACTCTTCCTCCCATACAAACATCAAGCCGTGCTAACAACTGCTTTTTGCTGATTGATGTCTCATCATTTGAAGGAAGCTGTGTAACCATTCCCAAAGCAGATCCACGTGGCATGATTGTAGCTTTATGGATTGGATGTGCACCTTCAGTATTCAAGGCAACAATTGCATGGCCACTCTCGTGATATGCAGTTAGCTGAAAAAGAATATATTTACCACAATGGTTAGCATGCCTGGATATCATAATATTGCCACCATAAATCATGAACAGGTGGAAAACAAGTTGTTGGTACACTATGGCAACATTCTGACATTCGTTTCATTCACTATACAAGGGGTTGACCTAGAATCTACACGGCATTCATAAAATACACAGCTTGATGTTTTGAGGCCAAATAAGTTCTTTCATTCTAAATAATTTTGCCAGTTCGTAAACATGTAAAATCAAACAATGACATAGATACAAAAATTCAATGCCTGATGTTAAATCAAATCAAACTTGCAAGAGCAGGGTACAGGATCCAAGTGTGAACATAGTTTTCATAACAAAGCAGAATACCTTCTTTGAATCTTCTGACAGGAACATGGTTTTGCGTTCTGTTCCCATTATTATTCTATCTTTTGCAAACTCCAACTGTGATGCATTTAGCTTCTCAGCACCTTCAACAGCAGCCTTAATGGCAGCAATATTCACAAGGTTTGCCAAATCTGTTTCAAACAGAAATGATAGAATAATATATCCAGATCAACAGTGTTCCTAGAAAGGAATTAGAATGTAAGTTCAATATTAAGTGTAATCTTAAAAGACAGTGGCGGAGCCAGAATTTTCATTAAGGGGTGTCAAAATATACAAAAGTAAACATATCAGAAAATTAAGGGGAGTCAATACATAGTATATATACATATAAAATTTTCTTTTTACCTACCTACACAATGTATTTTTCTGCGAAGGGGTACCGTTTGACACCCCTTCCTATAAGGTGGCTCCACCACTGTTAAAAGAGTTATACTATTAGTTAGATATCGTCCCATATGGAACAAATATCATATGAGTCTTGGATTTGACACCTATAAATAGGTGTTTCTTGTATGCCATTATTAGGGAAAATGATGTATCAATGACATCACTATTCCATTTATAATTAACAGTGGAATGATGTATCTAGGAGAAATCTCAGACATTAGTCAAATGTTGAATACTAAAAGAAGTTCATAGAGAACTGCTATCCCAAGGAAGAGATAACGCACAAAGCAATGGATACAATAATACAAGATCTTTGTTCAAAATGTAATCTAGTTCAGTAATCTGAAAAAATAGTTACACCCTCTATTCTAGTTTATGTGACACGCTTTCCTTTTTAGGCCATTCCAAAAAGAATGACACACTAAATTTGAAATAATTAACTTTACACTTCCCGTTGTACCCTTAATGAAAATTTTTATAACCATGGCGTGTTTAATTCCACAAGTTTCAAAAGTTATAAGCACACAAATGCTGGGGCATGTTTTTAACCACAAATTTCATAAGTTTTCATTTCTTTCTTAAACTTCATGCTAACTCAAACTATGTCACATAAGTTGGACTGGAGGGAGAATAAGTTAGGGCTTTATTCATGTAATTGGCCCATGAACTTGCATAATATTTGCTTTTGTGGATCGCGCATATCCATTAACTTTCCTTTCACTCGTCCAGAGTTATCTTGAAGAGTAAACCATGTCCAGCCGATTGGATATATGATATAGCCATCTTCACAAATCCAATCTTCTTTTGCTATATATTTAAAAGATCATAGATAGAGTCCACGTTATGAGGATCCTCCATTTCAAGCTTGAGAAGGTAGTATAACATCTCATTAGACACCAATTTTAGGATAAAAACGATTCAGATTAAATGGGAAACTTAAGCAAAAGAAAATGAACATAAAGTAAAATGAGCAGTGTACATACCTGCTCCATTGAATCCTGGTGTTCCACGAGCAATCGCTTTCACATCGACATCATCACCAACTGGTTTGTCTTGCAAATAAAGCTCTAAGATCTCTTGACGGCCCCGCACATCTGGGTTTGGAACTACAATCTAGAAAATGTAGGTTTGATGTTAACAGCCTGATGATGGACCATTATTATATAAGAAAAGAGCAATTTAACTATTCCTCACATTCATAGCTTACAATGTGTTTTCCAAAAGCAGAAGGATCAAAAGTCCTCCAACAAAATTCTGTCTTAGTCTGACATCTCAGGATAATGAAATGTATTAACTCAAATTTAGTATATACTGTATAATTTCACGACAAAAAATGCTCCCTTGAAATTTGCTCTTGTTCCGATTTCCAAATGTAATTCATGGAGTTGTTAATGGACATTCAAACTTAAGGCATAGCTTTAGTGTGACGAAGCTGCACGACACCACCCCATGCACAACTATCAGCGTGAAGTTAGTCAATTTGAAAAAAGGTTAAATCAGTAGGATAGTGTGACACAACTTTCTCAGGTAAATAAATTCATGATAAGCAACCGGTCTACTTGTCAGCAGACAAGTGTTAAAGAAGAAAAAAATACTCCAATTAGTGCCTTCAAAATACTCTCGTTAACACAGTGGAGAAAACTACTGAAGACCCCAAATTTATTCCTTCAAAAAAACATTTTAAGTTTGGAAGTAGAAAAGCAATCAAACAGGCTGGAAAAGCTCCAAAACACTTACATGCCTATCAAATCTACCGGGTCTTGTCAAGGCAGGATCAAGTATATCAGGCAAGTTGGTCGCAGCCATCAATATTATTCCCTGCATAAGTCAAATATACACTCCAGTTTCAAGTTCAGAGAGGAATCATGATCTAGATACTTTAACTTCAAGCCATTTACCTCATTTTGCTCAAAACCATCCATCTCAACAAGTAACTGATGCAGTGTTTTCTTAGTATGACCTTCCCACTGCTTTCGAGTTGATCCAACAGCATCAATTTCATCAATAAATATGATGCATGGAGCCTAAAAAAGAGAAGACACATGAAAATTAGATAGCAGTTCCAAGAAACTGATTGAGCTTCTTCAGAAAGGGAAACGGACATCAAATCCCTTCCTATTCCAAGTACAAGGACAAGGAACGGACAAAGCAGATTATCTCACATGATAGAGACACATGGAGCTGAAAGGGGACTTATGATTAGGTTTTAACAGCTTTAGCAAAATTGGGAGTTCTATTTATTTTAGCATTTCGGGCAGGAATAACAAGTTTGACGACAACATAAATTCAAAGCAGATGCTAGGGCATCATGCCCCTTATCAAGTTTTACTAGTTCCAAGAAAACCAGAAAGTTACTTTCCTAGTACATCAAGGCCTAATATTAATAAACAGAATTTCTAACAACTGGTTTGTTTGGAGTTACCACAAAAACCCCTCTCACATTAGTTGAATCCCTTGTTCCCTCCAAACTCTTGGTTTAAGAATGATGAAAATTCCTTTAACCCATTGATGAAAGCGCATTCTTATGGACGGCCCAAATAGAAAGTATGCCAAATGATTACAGACATGAAAGTATTAAAGAGACTGCAGTTTCACAAAGCCATAAAGGAAACTTTCATAACCAATTATGAGTGATCTCCACCCACTTCTTTCATTACTATGTAACTCAAACCAAAATTTATTTGAGAGATTAGTAGGCATGAATACGTTATGATACATGCAAGTTGGTTCTCTATGCACTCAGAAAACACATTGTGTCACAGCCAGACCACTTAAGCTCAAGTGAGATCTTTTCAACCATAGCTCAGCATTGACTGAAAATTTTCAGCCCAGAGTCTACCTAGTACATTTCACATGATTTTACATCTGATAGTTAAAAGTGATCTTCTCTAGAAACCACAATAAGTAAGTGGCGTATAGTCAATCAACCTTCTTCTTAGCAGCTTGAAACAAAGATCTAACACGTCGAGCACCAACTCCCACAAACCTGAAAGAATGTAAAATTTCCCAGGCAAGTTAATTAGGTCATAAGGTTAACCAAAGTAAGATCTTGAAAAGACAGGAAAATTTGCCCAAATCCACACAAAAAAAAAAATCAAGCATTTAAAAATCACATGTGCACGAAACAGACAGTATCCTCTAAAAGGAACAGAAGGATGGACTTTCACAGTAAAATCATGGTACAAGACTATCCCATAAAAACGGTCCTCAAGTTCCCTGGCCATGGAAGAACCATATGGTAAGTTAAAGCCTCCTACAGCATTGCTTGCTTCAGTTGGCCGGCAGCACCTGGATCATGCTTGACCCAGCATAGTTACCGCAAAGAGACTTGCTCGGTTGTATTGGATGCCCCTAATGTGAAAAGGAAACTGAAGATGTTATTCACTTATTTTTGCATTGCAACTTCACAAGTCAACTCTGGCACAGTTTTGACTCCTTTTGTTGGTAAAGTGGGTCGTGCCAAAGAAACCAAGAAGCTGCTAGAATGCTGGAGCAGGGGTAGCCTTGACAAGGAAATTCTTTTTTTTTTT